TGCCTGAGTGTCACTTCACAGGCTCACTGCCTTGGTGTTCAGATCCTTCTTCACTTTTGGCCTCAGGGTTTTTCCTTATCTTTGGGTAAGCTCAGCTATGCATTTATAAAAAGTCTATCAGGGTTTGGGGAAAACTGGACAGCTACAAGCAAAAAAATCAAACTGGACTACTTTCTCACACCACATAGAAAACTAAACTCAAAATGGATTAAAGACTTAAGTGTAAGACCTGAGACCATAAAACCCCCAGGAGAAAACATAGGCAGTATGCTCTTTTCCATAAGTCTTAGCAATATTTTTTTGGATCTGTCTCCTCAGGCAAGGGAAACGAAAGTGAAAATAAACAAATGGGACTAAATCAAACTAAAAAGCTTTTTTGCACAGCGAAGGAAACTATCAACAAAATGAAAAGACCATCTACTAAATAGAAGATATTTGCAAACAATACATTGGATAAGGGGTCAATATTCAAAATATACAAAGAACTCATACAGCTCATCATCAAAAGAACAACCAGATTTAAAAGAGGGCAGAGGACCTGAATACACATTTCTCCAGACATACAGATGACTAACAGGCACATGAAAAGATGCTCAACATCACTAATCATCAGGGAAATGCAAATCAAAATCACAATTAGATGTCATCTCACACCTGTCAGAATGGCTGTCATCAAAAAGAACACAAATAACAAGCATTGGGAGGATGTGGAGAAAAGGGAACCCTCGTGTACTGTTGCTGGGAGTGTAAATTGGTGCCACTATAGAAAACAGTATGGAGGCTCCTCAAGAAAAGAAAAATAGGGGCTTCCCTGGTGGCGCAGTGGTTGAGAGTCCACCTGCCAATGCAGGGGACACGGGTTCGTGCCCCGGTCCGGGAAGATCCCACATGCCGCCGAGCGGCTGGGCCCGTGAGCCATGGCCGCTGAACCTGTGCGTCCAGAGCCTGTGCTCCGCAACGGGAGAGGCCACATCGGTGAGAGGCCCGCGTACCGCAAAAAAAAAAAAAAAAAAGAAAAATAGAACTACCATATGATCTAGCAATTTTACTTCTGGGTATTTACCCCCCCAAAATAAAAACACTAATCTGAAAAGGTATATGCATCCCTATGTTCACTGCAGCATTATTTACAATAGCTAATATATGGAAATAACCTAAGTGTCCATCCATACACGCATGGATAAAGAAGATGTGGTATTACATATACAATTAGTCATTAAAAAAAAGAAATGAAACGTTGCTATTGCAACAACATGGATGGATCTAGAGGGTATTACACGAAGTGAAATAAGTCAGACAGAGAAAGACAAACACCATACGATCTCACTTTTATGTGCAATCTAAAAAACAAAACAAAGACACAAACAAAACAAAATGAAAAGAGTTATAGATACAGAGAACAAACAGGTTGTTGCCAGAGGGGAGGGAAGTGATGGGGGCGAAATAGGTGAAGGAGATTAAGAGGTATAAACTTCCAGTTATAAAATAAGTAAGCCACAGGTATGTAATATTAAGCATAAGGAATATGGTCAATAATATTGTAATAACTTTGTATGGGGTCAGATGGTTACTAAACTTATCATAGTGATCATTTCATAATGTGTGCAAATGTCAAATCCCTATACAGTACACCTGAAACTGACATAATATTATCAATCAACTATATTTCAATCAATCAATCAATGTTAATCGCATCTAAAAAATAAAAATAAGCAATATTAAATGAAGAGGGAAAAGAAGTCTAAGTCTGCATTGTATTTTTCAGCATTTCTGAAGGTTTTGTGGGAGGAGAGGCTTCAGGTTAGCTAGTCTGCCACCTTGTAAAAAGGAAGTTGTTCATAAAATGTCTAGATGTAAAACTCTGCCCAGGATGAGAGCCTTCTCTGCGGCAGAACCCTCACCTACGACCTCACCCATTTATGGAAGAGGAATTGAGTTCATCTTGGTGACTTAAAGAATAAAGCAGCACTTTGGTGGCAGGAGGTGTGGAGGGAGAATCAAAGGTGAGAGGAGACTTTCCCGAGTGTAGGAAATAGGGATTGTCTTGGTCCCTTCAGCACATCTATAACTCCTGTCTTTCCCTCTCCATCTCACTGCCTCTCAGCCTGGCTTCCCACAGATGGCTGAAGCCATGAGTGAGTGTACACTTCAGGGCACTCACTGTAATGAGAGCTCCAGGAGCACGCAACTTGACTCTTATCAAGCGAGCTCTGGCTAAAACTATCAGTTCTGATCAGATAAACCTAGGGACTTTGTTCTCCATAACAAGGGATCAAGGGACTCTGGTTGAGACTAAATTTACAAACAATTCTAAAATTGGGGGGGAAAAGGGAGGGAAAAAAGCAAATCATTCTAGGGAAACTTCTGTTTTTCCTTTCTTAAATCCTAAATCCACTCTCTGTAGGCCTCACGGCTTCTGTTTTGGAAAGGAGTTCTAAAATACATAAACACAGTCTAGCCATCATAGAAAATCCTTGAAATCCTTTTCAGAATGGTTCTAGACCGATATTCCTAGAAAGATCCACAGACCAGCACAGGTTGAGATCCCCAATGCAAATCAGATTCAGTGTAAAGAAGCCAGAATTCCTCTCCACCACCAGCAATCCTCTGATATAAAACCAGCCTGTTGTCCTTTCTGTACCCTCTGGCTCCATCATTCCCTGCCCTGATCAGGATAGGCCAATGCCTCAGGTAACATGGTGCTTCTACCCCAAAGGCACAGTGGTATCCACCTGCTCTAAGAACTGATTTTCCTCCAGGTTTGCATTTCTACATTAAAGCGCTCACTAGGTCAAATGGCATGTGTTGTAACTGTTGATAATACATCTTTTATAAATGGAGATTTAATTTTTAAATGTGTAGAAATAAACCATTTTCCCCTTGCTTTGGATTTTTCTTTAAAAAGTATAGCACCATCAAAGATGTCCTCTCAAGCAAAAATCCTTTTCAACAAAGATGAGGCATATTGGTGAAGAGTTCGAGTTACATAAGACTATGGAATTTATGTAGTCTGAGAATAAAAGACAATCACCTTCAATTTTACTTAAGACAGATACACATAAATGCTAGACTAACTCTTCTCTTATTTCCTGCACATCTCTCCTACTTCTTTCAGTTTTGAAATTCAGCTTGAATGATAAAAATACAAAGAAAGGCTAATAGGCATATGGTGATTGAGCAACAGGATCAACCATCATCAAATGTGTGCTAGCTTAAGAGCAGGCGGCATTACTAGAATTCACTACTTAATAGCTCAACCCCTTCTCTATTACTGCTTAAAACAGAGATTTAATTATAATGTAACTTTGGGCAAGTGAGAAAACCTCTCTGGTCCTCAGTTTCTTGATCTGTAAAATGGAGATAATAAAAATACCTATTGCAGAGGGTCATTGTGAGGTTTGAAACAATTTGTGTCTCTTACTGAGTGGTCCATAACTGTTAGCTCTCACTAAGGTTAGCTTTGTTATTAGCTGTTGATTGTTTTACAATGTGCCATGGGATATCTATTATTGCATTTAATTTATTATTTTTAATTCTGCTTCTTTCCTCAGAGTAAGCACTTCTGGTTAGCACAGACCTCATTAGCTCCACATTAAAAAAAAAAGTAGAATTAGATGAAAAGTCAACTTCAGAGCAAAGGATATGTTTTATGTACATATACTATTTAACATTTTATTTCCAGCAACAGCTTAAAAAGAGTAAGTTTTACATGGATCACTTCCTCTTCTGGTCCCAGGGCTGAGAATGCACAGTTCCTCTCAGAGAGACTTTTGATTGTGTTAGATAAATCCAAGAACACCATTACCTGGGTCCATTATACAGGCACTGTTCTAAGGCTGAGGCTTATTCTGACTGGCCATGGGTTAGAATCTGTAACTCCACCATTGAAAAATAGACCCAGTAGGAATGGCGTCATTTGAAGCCCAAGAAATAATTACAGACAAAGCATTTTAATAACTTCCTAGAGCCTGAATATTTGATCTGCAATCACATTCTTGAATTTACCACTTGTTAGTATGGACTAAAGTATAAACCTTGTGAAGTACCTGCTTTTCTTTTACTATTCATCTCTTTAATGGTGGGAAGAAAACAATAAAATTTTAATTGAGTTATCCCTCTCAGCACTGAACAGTGGTGGACAAAATCTATACATAACATCAAAATAATTGCACTGTGGAACTGGCCAGCAGTCTTGCCTGGCCTACATTTAGAAGAAAAGGATACGAGCTAGCTTTCCAATCTATTGGAGAGGATAGATCAAAACCTTCTAGAGGAACTACTTCAGTGTACAACAAGTATCTAAAGTGGTTTCTTATTGTCACTAATCTAATTCTTAAAGCTGTCAGTTAAGATATTCTCCTTACATTCTGCCCTTAAAACTTGTAAAGAGCAAACCAAGAACTGGAGAAAGTTAAAAAAAAAATCTACAATCTACTTGTTAGCACACCTTCATGCCATGGTGATTTGATTAGTGATTTGATAAGTATAGATTACAACCTTGGACTTAATACAGGGTGGCCCACTTTTTAAAAGGCCCATTTATAACAAAGCTCTCTCTGTTGGAACTGCCAAGAGAGTTTAAAAAAAAAAAATGCCACCAGTATCAAACACTTTTATTTAGCCACGCATTGTAGAGCAATGTAATTGCAAACCTGGAGAGCTACATCTTAGGACAGTTCTACTGATTGTGTGATTATAAACAAGTCAAAAAGATTTCCTGATTCTCATACTCTCTGTCACTATAATGAAATTACTACCTGCTCTCAAACTACTCCACAGAGAAGACCTAAAGAATAAGGAACACTATGTAAGTATTGCAAAGTGCGATAAGCTTCTTGGATAAGAGACTCTAAATGTCTTAAGAAAAATGCACAGATTATCCCTATTAGGGCAGAATATTTGTAACGAAGATTTAGGTTACTACAAACTAAAAAATTATTGAATTCTTACAAGTTTCAAATATAACACTCACCACAGTAGAAAGGGGAAAGACAACCTACCCCATGTTCCCATCCATTAGAAGAATCGTGTTGTATATGTGAGAAAATATGAAGAGAAAGAGAATTGTGCTGAAGAACATTGTCATCCACGATCCATGATCCTCTCGAAACATTTTTAACCGAAGCAACTGACCTGCAATATAAATATTATTGGAAATCAGTGTACACTGTAACTCAAAATCCATACAGCTTTGCTTTATTTTAGTGAATCTCTATTATCTCACAAATACTCTGAAGCCTTTGCCCTAGCACTTGTCTTATGGGTGAAACCACTATCTAATGTCCTTTTTGCTCTTTTGTACATAAATAGTGAAGTCCAAGACAACTCCCATATCATCATCCTAGAGCAAACAATACTAGTATGAGAATCTGGTATACAGAAATCATTCACTAGGCTGGCATGAAAACAAATTAATTAGAACACTATTACCTGCTATTTTTATGTCACAAATATGTTTTTGGTTCATTTACTGAAACTACTTAAGTAAGGCAAATGGTAACGATGTTGCATAAATTCCATATAATTCCCTTTTGCTTCCATAGAGCCATTCCCAATACTGGCCAGATGATAAAACCAAGTCATACTTCACTTATAAGAAGATCCAGTTGTTAAAGGTACATGAAAACATGGACAGTAAAAATAAAGTTTCTGTCGTAAGAGACAGAAGGCTTAGCATTACTCTTAGCTAAAATATCATAACCACATACAGGCTGGTGCCCAAGTCTGTGGGGTGTGTGGGGCCTGGTGGCGTGTGCATGTGTTATGGAGTTGGTATGGCTCCTAGCAAAACATAATTTCTACCTGATACCTAAAATTCCATTTAGAAAGACAATGGCTAAAATTGGAAAGGATGGCCAATTAATCTATGACAAAGGAGGTAAGAATACACAATGGAGAAAAGACAGTCTCTTCAATAAGTGGTGCTTGGGAAAACTGGACAGCTACATGTAAAAGAATGAAACTAGAACAGTCTCTAACACCATATATAAAAATAAACTCAAAATGGATTAAAGTTCAAAATGTAGGACTGGAAACCCTAAAACTCATAGAGGAAAACACAGGCAGAATACTCTTTGACATAAAATTGTAGCAATATTGTTTTGGATCTGTCCCCTAAAGCAAAGGAAATAAAAGCAAAAATAAACAAATGGGATCTAATTAAGCTTAAAAGCTTTTGCACAGCAAAGTTAACCATCAACAAAACGAAAAGACAACCTACTGGATGGGAGAAAATATTTGCAAATGATATGACGGACAATGAATTAACACCCAAAATATATAAACAGCTCATACAACTCAACATCAAAAAAACACAAACAACCTGATTAAAAAGTGGGCGGAAGGCCTGAATAAACATTTTTCCAAAGAGGACATGCAGATGGCCAACAGGACCATGAAAAGATGCTCAACATCACTAATCATCAAAAAAAGGGAAATGCAAATCAAAACCACAATGAGATATCATCTCACACTTGTCACAGTGGCCATCATCAAAAAGAACACAAATAACAAATGTTGGTGAGGATGCAGAGAAAAGGGAACCCCTGTACACTATTGGTGGGAATGTAAATTGGTGCAGCCACTGTGGAAAATAGTATGGAGGTTCCTCAAAAAACTAAAAACAGAACTACCACATGACCCAGCAATTCCACTCTTGGGTATATATCAAAAAAAAACCCCACAAAAACCCTAATTCAAAATGATACATTCACCCCAATATTCATAGCAGCATTACTTACAATTGCCAAGATACTGAAGCAAGTGTCCATCAACAGATGAATGGATAAAGAAGATGTGGTGTATATACACAATGGAATACTACTCAGCCACAAAAAAGAATGAAATTTTGCCATTTGCAACAACATGGATGGACTCAGAGGGTATTATACTAAGTGAAATAAGTCAGACAGAAAGAGAAATACTGTATGATGTCACTTATGTGTGGAATCTAAAAACTAAAACAACCTAGTGAATATAACCAAAAAAAAAAAAGCAGACTCAGATATAGAGAACAAACTAGTGGTTACCAATGAGGAGAAGGAAAGAGGAGGGGAAATACAGGGGTATGGGATTAAGAGGTACAAACTATTGTGTATAAAATAAGCTACAAGGATATATTGTAAACCACAGGGAATAGGGCCAATATTTTATAATAACTATAAGTGGAGTATAACCTTTAAACATTGTAAAACAGTGTATAATATTGTAACATATAATACTGTACATCAACTATACTTCAATAAAAAAAGAAAAAAAGAATGTTAAAATGCAAATACTTCAAAGAGGAAAATGTATTAAGATGAACACTAAAGTAAAAATTACTAGTATCATAATCAGTCCAGATAAATATTTTGATTTATGATAAAGAGAACTGAGAGCACTAGTATCCTGAAAGGTGAGAAGGATTTAAAAAAAAAAAAAACAGGATTAAGAAAAAAATAAACATAGGTCACCCTGGCTTCTCCTAAGAGAAAGTTTATCTAAATAATGATGAAGGAGATGATTCACATGTAGGAACTACAATTCAAATAGGGTAGGCCTGAAACCTTAACAATAAAATTTCTCACTAGAGAAAATATTCCCTTTTTTTGATGATATGTTAAAGGTATGGGGAAAATATGTATATTTCCATCTGTAAATGGTCTCTCTCTAGGGACAGATAGTAGCTCTCATGTAGGCTACTGAGCATAGGAAGAAATCATCTTTTAAGATTTAACTACTAATTTTCCCTTGTCCCTTTCTTTCATTAAAATAGCACTTCAGATTTCATTTGGAAACCAGGCTCACAGAAACACTACCCTAGCTAGAACTTTAAATGGAGCAAAAACGGATTTGGTTACATTTTCTGGTTTCTTGGCCTGCACAAGAGAAGCAAAGGACAAATCTGAAAGTCAGGGGGAATGTGAATTATAACTGAAAGAAGAATGTGGAAAATGTTCTACTGAAGCAAAGGATACTAACGCTGCAAATTACAGCCTTACAGAACTTGTTGATTAACTGAATCAATAATTATAGAAAGCCAGGGATTTGCACGTCTCCACACAACACATTGACAGGAATATTATAAATAGATATTTAACACAGAATGCTTGAGAGTAAAAAACCCATGCCATGAATATCTTAAAGCAAGCTGTAGAGAATATTATTTATTCTTTGAACAAATATTTAATGTGTGCTTATTGAGCAAATATTAAATGTGTGCTTACATGCCAGCTGTGGTTCTAGGTGCTGGAGATACAGCTGTGAGCAGGGTAGGAAGTGTTCACAGTCAACCATCATTTGGATATTTAATGAAAATGTGATCTTATTTTAGACTGATTTGACTCAATGTTCCCTTTGCTGCAAGTCCTTCAGCCTTGACCTATTTATTTAATTCAGCAGTTGATATTGAAGAACTGCTAAGACCAGCAATTAGAGTTCTTGGAAAATTTAAATGTGAATTTCTTTCTTAACATATGCATATGTCAAAAAATTCACTAATGGATGTACTTTAAAAGTCAGATAATAATGCTGGTGACTTAAGAGTGCTTTGCAAATAAAATACAGTGGGTTAACTGTACATGGCTGAAATAATACAGTTAGTAAAATGAGAAATGTGACAGTACCATTTATGCTGTCATTGCCAAACTCATTGCCTGGCACTAATTTCAGTCATTAGAGTCATTAGAACAAAATGGCAGGTTAACACGGCTTGCAATTCACTTGAAACACACAATAAAAGTACTGCAATATATTAAGGCCAGAACTGGTGTGACCTAAATGTTGAGTCAAATCACATTAAAAATTTTTCCCATAAGCTACTTCAACTTAACTCATTGAGTGTCCATCCTAATGATAGAAAGCTGTATACACAGATGGCCATCAGCTGACTCCCCATGCAATCTAATCAAACTAGGAACCTCAGAGTTACCCCAGGATGTCACATGAAAATGCACTATCTCCTCCCCTGCAGTGTGACCATATATTTGGTTTCCCTGGGACATCAGTGGCTTATAACTGTTGTCCTAGAATAATTATTAATAGTGCCCCCTTCCTTTCTGAAGTGCACTGGTTTGGACAATAAGTTATACGCCACCTTTCCTATAGGTCACAGAATTCAGAGTTTTTTTTTAACACTTTAGAGGAGTTTCAGGAGATAACCGAGTGAAAACAGTCTTCATAGGTCAACAGAGGTAAAAGACATCACTAGGAGGGGTACATTTCTGACAAGGTGATAACGACTTTTATTTTAATCATAGATATATTTGTAAATCTGAGTGTATGTTTATGTTACTAATAAAATCTGTCTTGCACTGTATGGACTATAATCTTTGATATGGTCAAGGTAATTGGAAAACAAATCTTAAAACAACCTGAAGCGTCAAGGTGGTACACAAGCCTATATCTGTGTTGGAGGTTAGGGTTGGAGGGCACAGGGATTAATTGTTACGAATGTTGATTAAAGTAAACTGAAATAGCTTAGAACCTCAGAATCTTTCCTGGAGATACAGTAGGTTTAGAACCACTAAGACGTCATAAGTTTCTAACAAGGATAATGACCTAAAAGCATATTTTAAAATATATGATGAGCTCACATATACTGTGGAAGACAGAGGTAGATGAGTGTAAGAGAATTACAGAGAGACTACTTGGTTTCTTGCCTTTTTTGCTGCTGTGTTCTCATCAGCAAAATAATAGAAAGGAACATTTCCTTTGTACCTCACAGCCAGACTTTTATGCTAAGTTCTGGGTTCCTTTTCTTCAGGCATAATTTTCACAAAGAGGCCTTGAACAAAGAAATAAACTAAACAATCTCAGAGGAGAAGGAGTAGAAGTGTTTGTGCTTCCAGGGAAGAGATTAATGTACTCCTGGGAAGTTGTTAAGGCAAGATTAAATAGGGTGAGGGTGTCTAGATTCACTGAGGATACAAAGATTTTGGCCTCCAAGGTGACAGAACCTCATTTGGGTTTGATTCCATGGATGCTGGTGAAGGCCAAAGTGTCAAGGGTCATGGCCTTGGAATTCAGGGAAGGAGACTGAACTGGCCCCAAAGGAAGGAGCCAATAGAGCAGCCGCCCACCTTCGTTAGGAACACAGTGACCTGGTTAGGATGGTGGAGGTCATTGAGAGGACGTGACAGCTGGCTGACCCA